AGCATGATAAACCTCAGAGTACTGAGGGCTAACCCCGGACGCAGTCTGATTTAACTTCAAAGGTGCTTGAAATGCCCAAATGTATTTGGATAACTATTTTAAGTGATCTATATAGTATAGTCACCATAGTATTCTCAGACGCTTTGTATTTCTTCAGTACTGAGGTGAGCATCTTTCTATCCACTTGGGGTGCGTCTATGCGGCACTGTTATTTCAAGATAACTAGCATTATTTCTAAATAACAGTGCGAGTGTCTACACAGCCATTCTGTTATTTCAAAATAATTTCAAAATAACAGACAGCTTATTCCAAAATCTGTAAACCTCATTCTACAAGGAATAGCGCCTATTCCTATTCCAAAATAGCTATTTCAAAATAAGGTGTGTGTAGACACTCCACTGCTGCTATTACAAAATAGCCCCTCACCGGGGCCATTCTACGTTATTCCTCCCCAGTGCCTCCTGGGGCTCTAAATCAAGATAGCACATCTACATCAGGGAAGCCTGCTTCGGACTAATTTTGTGGCTTCCCTGCAGCTTAGACGTGCTATTTTGAAATAAGCTATTTCAGAATAACTATTCCAGAATAGCTTATTTTGAAATAAGCGTGTAGTGTAGACGAACCCTTGCTGTCCTGTTGGCAAGCTGCTTGTCTATCACTTGCTTCATTACAAACAGGGCATCTGTGGCAAGCTAAACTGTTCGGCTATGTCTACGCTGGCGCGATCTTGCGCCAGAAGTATGCAAATGAGGCTAAGCGTGGAATATCGCCGAGCCTCATTTGCATATCTAATAAGCCGCCATTTTTGCAGAAGAGGTTCTTGCGCCAGAAGGAGTTGTCTACACTGCCCCTTCTTGTGCAAGAAAAACCCTCTCACGCAATGCTGTTACGCTGATTATTTTCAGGAATAATGGCATTGTGTAAGAGGGTTTTTCTTGTGCAAGGAGGGGCAGTGTAGACAGCTCCTTCTGTCACAAGAACCTCTTCCACAAAAATGGAGGCTCATTAGATATGCAAATGAGGCTTGGCGATATTCCATGCTTAGTCTCATTTGCATACTTCTGGTGCAAGATCACACCAGTGTAGACATAGCCTTCTTGTTCAACAAGGGGTTTTGCCATTCTCTGCTCCTAGTATCTAAGATGTCTTTCAATATATTCATCCCGCGCTATATTTTCTGCATTCCCTTCATAGGCATTTTTCCTTATGCATTGGGGCCAACATTGTCTTGCTGAATGGCCTTAGCCACTGTACTCATTCATTTTATGTCTCTCTGATCTAAGACTTTCACCAGGTGTGCTGTCACTGCATCAGATCCTGCTGCCTCACTCTTCTTCAGAATCTGGACTGTGTGTTTCACTTTATTCTCTGTCATGTCAGATTCACACCTTGCATTCATCAGAGGGGTAACTATATCAGCCTGTACCTGCAAAAACAATAGGGAGTCCTATGGTACCTTAAAGACTAACAGATTTATTTAGGCATAAGCTTTCATGGGCAAAAACCCACTTTGTCAGATGCACTGGAGGCAGGCACATGAAAAAAGGGAGTTGCCTTATTAAGTGGAGGACTGGTGCTAGGTGCTAATAAAGCTAATTCAGTCAGGGTGAATGTGGCCCACTCCCAACAGTTGATGAGGAGGTATGAATACCAACTGAGGGAACACTGCTTTTTTGTGGGTTAGCTATTCCCAGTCTCTATTCAAATCCAGATAAATAGTGTCAAGTTTGTAAACAAACCACAGCTCTGCAGTTTCTCTTTGAAGTCTGTTTTTGAAGTTTTTTTTAGTTGAAGGATGACCACTTGCAAATCTATATACATTTGGGCTATGTCTGTACTGGCAGGTTCTTGCGCAAGAATAGCCGATCGTCCACACTGCCCGCCCGCTCTCGAGCAAGAAGATTTACAATAAAGCATGGTAAGAGAGGGCTTCTTGCACAAGAGCTACGCTCTTTTCTAACAAGTGTAAGCTCTCTTGCACAAGAGGGCAGTGTGGACGCACGGCAGGGGTTTCTTGTGCAAGAAAGCCCTATGGCTAAAATGGCCATCCGAGCTTTCTTGCACAAGAGCGCATCCACACTGCTATGAATGCTCTTGCGCAAAAGCACATGGCAGTGTGGACATGTTCTTGTGCAAGAGCTCTTGCACTAGAACCCGCCAGTGTGGACATAGCCTTGTTAGTTTCTAAGTTGCTAAGTACTTATTGGACTTGCAAATCTGTTATTGAGTGTCAATAGGAAATTGAAGTGTTCTCCTATTGGTTTTCCTTTGTTACCATTCTCCATGTCTGATTTGCGTCCATTTATTCTTTCACACAGAGACTGTACAGGTTATCCAATGTACATGGCAGAGGGGCATGGCTGGCACATTATGGCATATATCACATTAGTAGATGTGCAGGTGAATGAGCCCCTGATGGTGTGGTTAATGTGGTTGGATACTATGATGGTGTCACTTGAGTAGGTATGTGGACAGAGGTTGCAATGGGGTTTGTTGCAGGGATTGGTTCCTGTGTTAGATTTGTTTCTGTGGTGTGATGCATAGTTGCTAGTGAGTATTTGCTTCAGGTGGGGCTGTCTATAAGTGAGGACTGACCTGCCTCCCAAGGTCTATGAGACTGAGGGACTATTTTCCACATAGGTTGTAGATTGTTGATGATGTGCAAGAGAAGTTTTAGATGGAAGCTATAGGAAAAGGTCAATGGTGTTCTGTGACCTTCCTTGTTGTCCTGTAGTAGGTTATTTCTGGGCACCCCTCTAGTACTGCCAATCTGTTTTCTCACGTCCCCTGGTGGGTATTGTAGTTTTAAGAATGCTTGATAAGATCCTGTAGGTGATTGTCTGAGGGACTGGCATAAAAGTGGTTGTATCTTAGCACTGGGCTAAACAGTGGATCTGTGATGTATTCAGGATGCAGGATGAAGGTATGTAAATAAGTACAGTGGTCAGTAGGTTTGGAGTATAGGGAGGTGTTTATGTCACTTATTTGCACTGTAGTGTCCAGTGTCACTTATTTGCACTGTAGTGTCCAGGAAGTGGATCTCTTGTGTGGACTGGTCCAGGCTGAAGTTGATAATGGGATGGAAACTATTGGCCCTACATTCAGATTACATGTTGGCAACTCCATAACTTATGCCTGCTGTAAGAAATCCTAACCTTCAACTGTTCAGTGGGACCTAGCAGAGCTGTAATGACAGCATTTAATCTATCACTCAGCAAGGCAGCTGCATGCCTCTGGGCCAGTTCTGCTCACAAAACCCAGAACAAGGAGTCTGAAACCGGGGGATGAATTGCTCACAGCTGAGTGGGCTTTGCAATGAGAGCCTCCAGAGGAACTCGGACTAAGCCAGCATCTGACCCCTTTCAGAGCAAGGTGCACAGACAGACCCTTCCTCACTCTAGCCAAACTAATGGGAGCAGTGGAGGACAAGTCTCAGAGAGGCAGCCATGTTAGTCTGGAGCTGCAAAAACAATGAGGAGCCCTGTGGCACCTTAAAGACTAATACATTTGGGCATAAGATTTTGTGGGTAAATCCCACTTCATCAGATGCACACCACAAGGACAGTGGGGGGGGGGGGAGGGGAGTTTAAAACTGACATGAGCTTCCTACTTCTAGAGGTACTCAAACTCTGGGGGGTGGAAGGGGGATATGTGAGAAAAATCCAGTAAGGAGGGACAACACGTTTTATTTAGTAAGATTTGCCAATTTTACTATATTATGACCAGAGGGAGGGACCTAGTAGACTACTTCGTTTGGGAAAGGGTTTGTGGCCTAAGAAAGAGTCGAAAACCCAGTGTCCTTGGGAACTGCTCAGTAGGAGGGAAGAGCAGAAGACTCCTGACCTCAAGAGGGGCCGACACAATTTGTATAGGCGGAGCGCTCAGGGCCATTGAACTAAACTGCCAACCCTGATGGAACCCAGCCACTCCCAGCCGGC